TTAAGAGTAGATCTCCTTCAGCAAAGCTTCTTGTAGTAGTTGTTGTAGTTTAGATTTATGTACCACCCTTCTCAGGGACGCGGGTGGCGCTGTGGGTAAAACCTCAGCGCCTAGGACTTGCCGATCGAAAGGTCGGCGGTTCGAATCCCCGCGGCAGGGTGCGCTCCCGTTGCTCGGTCCCAGCGCCTGCCAACCTAGCAGTTCGAAAGCACCCCCGGGTGCAAGTAGATAAATAGGGACCGCTTACAAGCGGGAAGGTAAACGGCGTTTCCGTGTGCGGCTCTGGCTCGCCAGAGCAGCGATGTCACGCTGGCCACGTGACCCGGAAGTGTCTCCGGACAGCGCTGGCCCCCGGCCTCTTGAGTGAGATGGGCGCACAACCCTAGAGTCTGTCAAGACTGGCCCGTACGGGCAGGGGTACCTTTACCTTTACCTTTTACCACCCTTCTCACAAGATCTCAGGGTGCTTCACAGGATGAAACGCAAGGTAAAAAAAGCGAGTAAAGAGTTGAAACAAAAACAACAAAACAGGAACATGATCAGCTTGAGGACTAGCGCCTTGAGGCGTTTGGTAGGCAGCTATTCAAACGCCACAGTTGCACCAGCAGCACAAAACATAGCTACTGGACCGCAGATGTTGGCAAAGTTTTTGTGGCTTGGGCCGGTTTATGGTCCTGCAGACGCCGCGGTGGGCCGGAGTGAGCGTGCGCACACATGTGCAAACTCTATTTCCTGCGTGGAGGAGGCATGCGGAGCTTCCTGCAGCCAATGGGAAGCCGGCCAGCGTCGTGGAGGGCGGTCCCTGCTCTGCTGTGCTCTGTGCCGGTTTAGTGCGGCGCACGGGAACCAAGCGGGGGTCCATGGGCCGGTTAAACGACCGCCATGGGCAGCTTGTGGCCCGTGAGCCTTAGGTTGCCGACCCCTGGGACACGGGATCCTGCTCCCTGAGAATCTTGGTTTTTATTACAGTGGTGCCTCGCAAGACGAACGCCTCGCAAAACGAAAAACTCGCAAGACGAAAGAGTTTTCCGTTTTTGAGTCGTTCCGCAAGACGAATTTCCCTATGGGCTTGCTTTGCAAGAAGAAAGCCCATAGGGAAATCTCCGGGGACCTCTTTTAAATGCTGGCGGTGGGGAGCAAAGACTTTCGCCCACCGCCTGCCTTCAGAAGACCTCCGCTGTCCCGGGGGCTTTTAAAATGCTGGCGGTCGGCAGCAAAGCCCTCCTGTCCCCGGAGCTTGCGGGGCGGGAGGTGGGGAGAAGGGCTTTTCTTCCCACCGCCAGCTTTCAGAACAGCCTTCTGAAGGCTGGGGGTGGTAAGAAAAGCCCTTGTCCCCCCCCCAGCCTTCAGAAGAGGTCGGGGGACAGACTGTCCCCGGACCTGGTCTGAAGGCGGTTTCCATAGGAACGCATTGATTGATTTTCAATGCATTCCTATGGGAAACCGTGCTTCGCAAGACGAAAAACTCGCAAGAAGAAAAAACTTACGGAACGAATTAATTTCGTCTTGCGAGGCACCACTGTAAATTGAAGCCAAGGCGCTAGTCCTCAGTGCCAAGAGGGCAAGCCTGCTGATATCGCAGAAGCCTGGGCGTCAGAGGCACCTTACTGGCTTTCCCCCATGACTATTAGAACCATTCTTTTGCCAAATACCTGAATGCACAGAATAAAGGGAAATCATGTCGACGTGCTAACTTGGCGCAATCTCTCTATCCAGCATCCAGCTTTTCTTAGCGCTCGCAGAATAGGAACTTGAGGACCAGAATCATGCAACGTTTGCTGGGTTGCTCAAAAGGAGGTCCGGCGGGGTATTGAATGGGGGGTTTCTCTCAGGGTGGGGTTTGGTTTAAATCAAATCGATTTAAATCACTAGTCAGTAAGACTTGATTTAAATCCTTATTATTTTGTACAGAAAGGGTCATTCTTGCTGGTATAATCTTAATATTTACAACCCGTTTTTGGAATAATAAATTTTTGGAGTCATATTTTTTTTTACAGTTATATAAAAAAATGACTGATTTGGTTATACTATTAGAAATACACAGACAGGCAATTGTGAAATTGTTGTGAGGTTTAATAAGTTGACTGTTTATATTTGGACAACTTTTCTGCTGTACTTAATTGGAAGGAGAAAAATGATCGTAACAATTTAAACAATTCATTTAGCTAAAACAATAACATTATAGCATATGTATCCATGTTTGTTAACTGATGTGGTTAAACAATTTTTTAAAAAAAACTTAGGCTGATTTTAGCACACATGAAAAACTTAAAACAAATCCTTATTTCCTGATGAATAGCCTTCAGACTAGAATGTAACTTAAAGAGAAAATCTTCGGAGAGATTTTTCCTCCAAAAGCACGTTATTTTAAAAATCCAATTTATTATTATTTTTTTAAAAATCCGATTTAAGTAAATAAAAATTCCGTTTTTTGGTGTGTGTTTTTTAATCATTGGTTTTTATCCACCCTGGTTTCTCTCGAGCCAGGAACGTGCCTGTTGTGGGTGGGTGTTGCTGGCACGATCTCTTGTGGCACTCCAGAAACCCTGCGAGGTTGGGCAAACCAGAATTTCCTTCTGTTTCGTGTTGGCGCTTGGTGGGTGGGGAGCCAGTCTTTCCTGTCTCAACCTTGCTTGGTCATCATGACTATGGCATGGGAGGGCGATGTGCAAACAAGCATCTGGATGTTTCTTGTACAACGAGATGCATCTCAGTGCGGATCATAGAATTGTGGAGTAAGGGGGTGATCTCGCCCATCCCTCCGCGGCGCAGGAATCCCTTGGCCCAACACAGGACTCAAACCCACAACCCCGGCCTTTAAGAATCTCGTGCTCTAACCCACTGAACTGTCCCAGAAGTGAGTATATTCCCTTCTGAATCCTGGGCGTTCCAAAGTACAGTCATACCTTGGGTTACAGACACTTCAGGTTTCGTTTTTTGGGTTAAAGGTAAAGGGACCCTTGACCATTAGATCCAGTCATGGCCGACTCGGGTTGCGGCGCTCATCTCGCTTTATTGGTACAGCTTCCGGGTCATGTGGCCAGCAGGACAAAGCCGCTTCTGGCAAACCAGAGCAGCGCACAGAAACGCCGTTTACCTTCCCGCCGGAACGCTACCTATTTATCTACTTGCACTTTGACGTGCTTTCGAACTGCTAGGTTGGCAGGAGCAGGGACCGAGCAACGGGAGCTCACCCCATCGCGGGGATTCGAACCACCGACCTTCTGATCGGCAAGTCCTAGGCTCTGTGGTTTAATCCACAGCGCCACCCGCATCCCCAACTCTAAGTAGACCCACTGAAATTAACTTACCCCTTGCTTTTCCCTGTAAGACCTATTGCAGTCGTTAAGAGTCGCTATCTGCCCATCACCCATTCCCACCACCCTTCTGAGTAATACCCCTCCCCACCTTCTCACTATATAGAAGGATCTGGCAACTTCTGTTTCAGTGTATCTGAAGAAGTGTGCATGCACACGAAAGCTCATACCAAGAACTAACTTAGTTGGTCTTTAAGGTGCTACTGGAAGGGGGGGAAAATTTGTTTTGACTATGGCAGACCAACACGGCTACCTATCTGTAACTTAAATGAATTAACTTACTTAACTTAAATGAATTAACTTATTTAAATGAAGTTACATGGTTTTAGTAGAAAGGTTATAAAGAACTAAGTAAAAATGGGCTGTTAATGGGTCAAAGTGTAGAATTTAAGGCCAAATTGTGTTAAGATAAATTATAGAACAGAAATTGAGAAAGATGGAAAGGACTTGCTGAAATAGCTATTTGAATTGGAATACAAAAAAGGGAGGTGTGAGGAGGTCGATGAAACAAGTAAATGAAAGATAAAGATATGGAAATACTGGATATGTTTTTAAATGTTTTCGTTTTTCTTATTGTTTTGTTATATTGTTTTTCTTTCTTCTTTATTGTGCTTTTTATTTTTGAAGTATTCTTTATTGTCTTTTTTCTTTTTTCTGTAACTGTTAAATTTTTAATAAATATCATTTTTTTTAAAAAAAAATTAACTTTTGCTTTTCAGTGGGACTGCTGAAAAGAACAAAGAAGAGCAAAAGAGCAAAGAAGACCCCCAAGAGCAAAGAAGCCATGACAGCGAGCGGGATGGATCCCGCTGGCTGTCCTGGCTTCGTTTTTAGCCTCGGGGCTGGGGGTCCGGGAGCAAAGGCGAGGTTACGCACAGCTTCGCCATCGCTCCCGGAGCTTTTTTCTTTTCCTTAAGCCTGCAAACTTCATTCGTCACATATCGATATATTTATTCCAGAACAATGTTTTTTCCCATATACTCTTTAACACAGTCCCATTCTTTCATTAATTTTTGGTCTGATGGTCCTCTTGAGACTTCCGTTGACCTTGCCAAGTCTATGTGTTCACATAGTTTGATTTGCCACACTCTTACTGATGAAATTCCCAATTTTATTTTGGTAGTTCCTCACCTATAATACAGAACAAAAAGGCCTCTGGTTTTTTTAACAGAAGTTATCTTAAACATTCTCTTTGGCTCATTATATATCATTTCCCAGAAGCCACCTGCAGGGGGGGCAGGTTCTAGCACTGTTTGACGGTTTCTAGCACTGTTTGACGGTTTCTAGCACTGTTTGACGGTTTCTAGCACTGTTTGACGGTTTCTAGCACCGCTTGACAGTTTCTAACACCGTTTGACGGTTTCCCAGCACCGCTTGATGGTTTCTAGCACCGTTTGACGGTTTCTCGCACTGTCTGACTGTTTTCTAGCACTGTTTGACGGTTTCTAGCACCGCTTGACGGTTTCTAACACCGTTTGACGGTTTCCAAGCACCACTTGACGGTTTCTAGAACCATTTGACGGTTTCTAGCACCGCTTGACGGTTTCTAGCACCGTCTGTCGGTTTCTAGCACCGCTTGACGGTTTCCAGCACCGTTTGACGGTTTCTAGCACCGCTTGACGGTTTCCAGTACTGTTTGACGGTTTCCAGCACTGCTTGACGGTTTCTCTTTCCTCTCCCCAGCCCCCTGGTGTCAGCATGGAGGGCGGTGTGGACGGCCCCATCGGAATCCCCTTCCCCGACCACAGCAGCGACATCTTGAGCAGCCTGAACGAGCAACGGAACCACGGCTTGCTCTGCGACGTGGTTATCCTGGTGGACGGGCAGGAGTTCCCCACGCACCGCTCGGTCCTGGCGGCCTGCAGCCAGTACTTCAAGAAGCTCTTCACCTCAGGGCTGGTGGTCGACCAGCAGAACGTGTACGAGATAGACTTTGTGAGCGCCGAGGCCCTCTCGTCCCTGCTGGAGTTCGCCTACACGGCCACCCTCACCGTCAGCACTTCGAACGTGGGCGAGATCCTCAACGCCGCCACGCTGCTAGAGATCCAGGCGGTCAGGGACGTTTGCACGGATCTGCTGGACAGGAAGATTCTGGCCAAGAACGACCAGATGGACACAGTAGATCAAATTGATCAAAGGAACCATCTCAGAGCGAAAGAATACCTGGAGTTTTTTCAGAGCAACCCCATCAACGGGCAGCAGGGCACGTACCAGTGGACCAACCCGGACTTGAGGGACCTTCAGCGACTCGGCTTTCGGGGCCCGGAGGTCAAGGAGGAGCCGGACTGCAACGGCTTGGACTTCTACACTCAGGCCGCCCTCAGCGACAGACCAAAGGCGAACGACGGCGACCCCGACGGCAAGATGTGGCTGGACACCGAAGAGGCCAAGGCGGCCGCCGCCCAGGGACCCTTGTTCCCCGCCTCGCAGAACGGACAGTACGGCGGGCACGGCCTGGCCACGGTGCCCGGGGAGGACGAGGCGGCGGCTCAACTGGACCAGCAGGAGGCGGGGGGCTCCCCCGCCTTCGTCCCCGGGGAGGGCGAGGAGGCGGACCCCCGGGAGGTGGACGGCCTGGCCGCCAGCACCCTCCTACAGCGGATGATCAATTCCGTGGAGCGGCAGCAGCTGGCCGAGGACGACCGCAAAGACGACGACGGAGTCATGGATTATTACTTGAAATACTTTAGCACTTCCCAAGAGGGGGGCGAGTACCCGTCCTGGTCCCACAAGTCGGAGAAGAAGATCCGGGCGAAAGCATTCCAGAAGTGCCCCATCTGCGAGAAGGTGATCCAAGGGGCGGGCAAGCTCCCTCGCCACATCCGGACCCACACGGGAGAGAAGCCGTATGAATGTAACATTTGCAAAGTTCGGTTTACGAGGTGAGCACGGGGAGAGGGGGCGGGCTGGGGGCGGGGCCGCAGGGTTGCCCCCCTCCGGAAGATCTCAGTCCTTACTACTGTGAGAATATTATCGTTCGTTCGTTCTAAATGTTTGTAAATTGATACACTGCTTATACAAGGCGATTTGTGAAAGATGAAACAATCGAGGGGTGGAATTGCAACCTGTGCTTTGCGACATACGAAGGTTCAAATACGGTGGTACCTCGGTTTCCGAACGTAACCTGTTCCGGAAGACCGTCCGAGTTCCGGAAAGGGAGGCGCAAAATGCGGCCGGCAAATTTAATGGAGGAAAATAACATACGCTTTGCGGAAGCCATTTTGACTTCCGAGGCACGTTCGAAAACGGAAGCGTTTACGGCGTCCGAGTTCCGAAACGTTCGTCAACGTTCGAAAACCGAGGTACCGCTGTACTAAAATAGTTTGCAACCACTACAACTTTTCTATGCATCTGGGTAGGCTTTTCTAAGCAGGAGAGTGGGCGCGGTGAAGGCTTGCTCTCAATAAATCGGCAGGGAGTTCCGAAGGGGAGACGCCACACGAAATGCTTGGAAGTGAATTTCAGATAGGCCTGAATTACGCTTCTTGAGGTGAGTGGCGCTGCGTTTCGACCGCTTTTCCTGCCTCCCAGCTAGATGTCGATGTCTTTATATACCGTATTTTTTGCTCTATAAGACTCACTTTTTCCCTCCTAAAAAGTAAGGGGAAATGTGTGTGCGTCTTATGGAGCAAATGCAGGCTGCGCAGCTATCCCAGAAGCCAGAACAGCAAGAGGGATTGCTGCTTTCGCTGCGCAGCGATCCCTCTTGCTGTTCTGGCTTCTGAGATTCAGAATATTTTTTTTTCTTGTTTTCCTCATCCAAAAACTAGGTGAGTCTTATGGTCTGGTGCGTCTTATAGAGCGAAAAATGCGGTACATATTCCCCTCTAGGAGGCTCAGTTGGGTCTAACCTCGGTTGTCGAACGTAATCCATTCCAGAAGACCGTTCAACTTCCGAAACATTTGACAGCCGAGGTGCGGCTTCCGATTGGTTGCAAGAGCTTCTTGCACTCAAGCCGCGTCAGATGTTTGGGTTCCGAAAAACGTTCAAAAACCAGAGCATTTACTTCTGGGTTTTCGGCGTTTGGGAGGCAAAACGTACAAGTACCACTGCGCAAGGTTCAACTGTATACATTTCCAGAGTTAACACAAAATACACAACCTCTGGTCAGTGAGCCACCATAGCTGCTAGAGGGCCGTGGAAATTTGTGTCCTGGGCTATTCAGAGTCTTCTAACCACGTACTAGCTGAAACCAAAGGGGCGCAAGGCTTGCCATGTGTGATTCCTCCCCCCCCCCCCCCAGTTCTCCTACCTCACTTTTATTTAAAATGCATCTCTGGTTTATTTGTGGGGCATAGGAATTGGTTCATATTTTTTTCCAAAATATAGTCCGGCCCCCCACAAGGTCTGAGGGACAGTGGACCGGCCCCCTGCTGAAAACATTTGCTGACCCCTGATCTAAACGCTGCAGGTGGGGCGGAATTGCCAGAGATCAATTGGAACTGAACTGCGAACTGACCGTGAACTGAATTAGTTCGATTCTCTGTGGACGTATTGGAACATTAAAAAAAATGAACTTTCCAAGTTCTCTGTAGGTCAGCCGTACGAAATTTTAAGCACAGATGTGGCCTGGGAGGGGGGATGGCATTGAAAACAATGTGGATTTGGAGAATTCAAACAGCGTTCTCTGTTAATCTGACCTCTCGGGGGGGGGCGGGTTTTGGTGGACAAGACCCCCCCCAATGGCCTGCTCAGGTGTGCGCCAGCAGCCTCCCAAAATCCAAGCGGATCTCTTTGAACACACCTGAAGAGGAATTTGAAAGGTGTGCTAAGATCCAAACCCATAATTTGCCCTTCCCTGTCAATGCCCCCAGTTACTGGAGGAAGAAAATTGCACCAGGAAAAGAAGGTAGGAAACTTTCTTGCCAAAAAGTGTGTTTGTTTTTAACCTGTTGCTTTAGTTTTTGTTTATTTCTTGCTCGTTATGATGTTTTATTTATTTAGTTAAAGTTTAAAACTTTGCAGTCACATACCGAATGTACAAACATAGAAACAAGATTCCAGATAATCTCCTGCACTTCCCTCTCCCGACTTTGTGGGTCCTATTATTAATATTTCCCTCCTACATCTTTTATGATAATCCCACATCTTTTATCTCTCCATTGTGTCCAAAATTCACCATTAAACTACAAGTGATATTCCAATCCTACTAACGATTTTAAACTTTAAACTACAAGTGATATTCCAATCCTACTGACGATTTTAAACTTTAAACTACAAGTGATATTCCAATCCTACTGACGATTTTAAACTTTAAACTACAAGTGATATTCCAATCCTACTGACGATTTTAAACTTTAAACTACAAGTGATATTCCAATCCTACTGACGATTTTAAACTTTAAACTACAAGTGATATTCCAATCCTACTGACGATTTTAACTTTAAACTACAAGTGATATTCCAATCCTACTGACGATTTTAAACTTTAAACTACAAGTGATATTCCAATCCTACTGACGATTTTAAACTTTAAACTACAAGTGATATTCCAATCCTACTGACGATTTTAAACTTTAAACTACAAGTGATATTCCAATCCTACTAACGATTTTAAACTTTAAACTACAAGTGATATTCCAATCCTACTGACGATTTTAAACTTTAAACTACAAGTGATATTCCAATCCTACTAACGATTTTAAACTTTAAACTACAAGTGATATTCCAATCCTACTGACGATTTTAAACTACAAGTGATATTCCAATCCTACTGACGATTTTAAACTTTAAACTACAAGTGATATTCCAATCCTACTGACGATTTTAAACTTTAAACTACAAGTGATATTCCAATCCTACTGACGATTTTAAACTACAAGTGATATTCCAATCCTACTGACGATTTTAAACTTTAAACTACAAGTGATATTCCAATCCTACTGACGATTTTAAACTTTACCAATCCTACCTAATGATTTTAAATCTTTAAACTACAAGTGAATTCCAGATCCTACTGACCGATTTTAAACTTTAAACTACATAGTGATATTCCAATCCACTGACATTTTTAAACTTTAAGACTAAAGTGTGATTGTCAAATCCTATAAACGTTTTTAACTGTTTACAAATGGTCTTTGTAGATATGTTATAGTTTCCCCATTCATTATCCATTTTAAAAAATTTTGAGTCTGTCTGATTTTCTGATTCTTGCGGTCCATTTTAGGCCATTTCGGCATAGTCCATCAACTTCTTACGCCATTCTTCTCTGGTCGGGACTTTATCTTCTCTGCATCTCTGAAAAGTTACTATTATTTTTCTCATTATTATTAGTTTATTCCATTTGTACCCAACCAATGAGGGACTCAGATATATGAGCTAGGTGCCAAATGGGTCCTTCAACCAAGGTTGGAGTCGCCAAGACAGAATGTCTAGTTGCCATTTTGGGGCAAATCCTATTTTTCAAAGGATGAATGGACTGTGATTGATTCTCAGTTAAACGCCTCGCTAGTTCAGATGACAACCTTGAGTTCGGGTCAAGAGCTTTGAGAACCTACATATATGTGTCATACAATATTGGGCATTGTCTCTTATCCTCGGACTTCATCTCTGCATGGCGTTCTAGGTAGTCTTTGGTCAGCTGCATAATCTTTTATTCCACCCATTTTCATCTCAAATCTTCCTTCCTTTAATGCTATCTGCTGCCCATATGTTCATTCTTACTTGTAGGTTAAATTCACTATTATACCCTTTAAGATGCTCTTCAAAGCACTTCCGCTCATCTCTTATCCGTGACAGGGCAGCCCTATAAATTAATCTGGTAAATAAATAGGGGGAAAGCCAAATGTCCCTTCGAGGAGGATCTGAAATATTTTCCTTGAAGCTGGCACTTCTTTTATTCTGGATTGTTAAGATTTGATAGGGGACGTGGGTGGCGCTGTGGGTTAAACCACTGAGCCTAGGACTTGCTGATCAGAAGGTCGGAGATTCGAATCCCCGCGACGGGGTGAGCTCCCGTTGCTCGGTCCCTGCTCCTGCCAACCTAGCAGTTCAAAAGCACACCAAAGTACAAGTAGATAAATAGGTACCACTCCAGCGGGAAGGTAAACAGCGTTTCCGTGCGCTGCTCTGGTTCGCCAGAAGCGGCTTAGTCCTGCTGGACACATGACCCGGAAGCTGTACGCCGGCTCCCTCAGCCAGTAAAGCGAGATGAGCGCCGCAACCCCAGAGTCGGTCACGACTGGACCTAATGGTCAGGGGTCCCTTTACCTTTAAGATTTGATATTTCAATGTGTTGTCGACCACTTTGAGGTTGTTTTCTTTAAAAAATAAAGCAATAGAGAAATGAAATGAGGAATAATAATAATAACAACAAATTTCATAGGGGGGAAATGGGTACCTAGACATCCTATTGTGGCAACCACAGCTTCTAACACTGCCCATTTTGGATCTGTTAGATCTGCTTTGCGAAAGTGGTGGGGAGTGTTGTGGCTGATTTAACCTTGAAAAAAAGAGGCATAGCTGTCAAGCGTCCCTTATTTGGCGGGATAGTCCCTTATCCCAGCGCCATGTCACGCTGCTGTCCCTTATTGATGATGTCCCTTAAATAAGCTACTGAAGGTAATGGGGCCCTTTCTATGTCCAGCTGTCCTTTGCCAACAACAAATTGTTGCTTTTTTGTGTGTTGAATATATGCTGTATGGTCATTTATGGACCTAATAGGTATCTAAAGCCATTTGTACGCAACAAAATACAGTGGTGCCTCGCAAGACGAAAAGAATCCGTTCCGCGATTCTCTTCGTCTAGCAGTTTTTTCGTCTTGCGAAGCAACCCTATTAGCGGCTTAGCAGATTAGCGCTATTAGCGGTTTAGCAGCTATTAAAGGCTTAGTGGATTAGCTGCTAAAAGGCTATTAGCGGCTTAGCGGCTTAGAAAAAGGGGGGGAAGCAGGGTGGAAATCGCAAAACTCGCAAGACATTTTCGTCTTGCGAAGCAAGCCCATAGGGAAATTCGTCTTGCGAAGCAACACAAAAACGGAAAACCCTTTCGTCTAGCGGGTTTTCCGTCTTGCGAGGCATTCGTCTTGCGGGGCACCACTGTATGTATTTTATCAAAGTAATTGTTGTTCCCTTATTTTGGCTGCTGATCCCTTATTTTCAAATCTGTAAGTCGACAGCTGTGAAAAGAGGTGGCCCTGATCCTAGCTCTGTGCACACGGCCGGATTTAGGTTTGACGAGGCCCTAAGCTACTGGAGGTAATGGAGGCCCTTTATATGTCCAGCTGTCCTTTGTCAACAACAAATTGTCGCTGTTTTTTGTGTTGAATATATGCCTCTGTGGTCATTTACGGACCTAATAGGTATCTAAAGCCATTTGCACATAACAAATGAGAGCCTACACAACACTGTTGCTGTATGTAGGTTTGATTTTATTTGGGGTTTTTAATATTATGTTTTGGAAATGTACATCCAGGTTTTTTCCCCTTTAAATTTTTTGGGGGCCCCCAAGAGAGTGGGGCCCTTGTTTAGCTTATACGTAAATCTGGCACTGGCTGTTCCAGTTTTGGAGGGGGTGCAAAACCGTCTTTGGGGTGGAGGAAGCAAGCCTCATATGAGCTGAAGAGTCTAAATCAGTCCCTCGTGATTCTTGAACGCCCCTGTCATGTTCTCTGCTCTTATTTTCCGCCTCCCCTCCCCTCTGGAAGGGAGAGTCCCTTATGCATTAAAAGCGGCTCTGTTGCAGCCTAGTTCATAAACTGTGGTGCATTAGGAAGATTGATGGGTGGAGTGGGGGGGTGGTGGCCTGCTGCACTCGGGGGAATATGGCATGAAAATAACGCCAGGGAGAAGCACGGAGGATCTTTTCCCCCACGCTCTCCTCCCCACCCTGAATCCCATGGCTTGCAGATAGATGCCCCTAACAACCTTCGAAGCTGTGAGATGCACAAAAACACACTTTTTGTTTAGTCGCTTAGTTGTGTCCGACTCTTCGTGACCCCCTGGACCAGAGCACGCCAGGCACTCCTGTCTTCCACTGCCTCCCGCAGTTTGGTCAAACTCATGCTGGTAGCTTTGAGAACACTGTCCAACCATCTCTTCCTCTGTCGTCCCCTTCTCCTTGCGCCCTCCATCTTTCCCAACATCAGGGTCTTCTCCAGGAAGTCTTCTCTTCTCCTGAGGTGGCCAAAGTCTTGGAGCCTCAGCTTCAGGATCTGTCCTTCCAGTGAGCACTCAGGGCTGATTTCCTTCAGAATGGAGAGGTTTGATCTTCTTGCAGTCCATGGGACTCTCCAGAGTCTCCTCCAGCACCAGAATTCAAAAGCATCCATTCTTTGACGATCAGCCTTCTTGATGGTCCAGCTCTCACTTCCATACATCACTACTGGGAAAACTATAGTTTTTACTATACGGACCTTTGTTGGCAAGGTGATGTCTCTGCTTTTTAAGATGCTGTCCAGGTTTGTCGTTGCTTTTCTCCCAAGAAGCAGGCGTCTGTTAATTTCGTGACTGCTGTCACAAAACACACACACACACACACGAAACACACACCCAAAAAAACCACCATTGCCACTTGGACATAGTAGAGCACCTTATTTTGCACACAGTGGCATCTCAGGGTGTGGCTGGGAATGGAAAGTCCTGTCTTGAAGCACGGAGAGCTGTTGCCGGCCAGAGCGGACCCTCCTGGTCTTGGTATAAGGCGCCATCCTAGCACCCAGAAATCTCCACATGGTTGCAGTTGGTAACCGCGCCAGTTGCAAAATGTACCTCATTTCCTTACCCCCCTATAATTTTTATAAGATTTTCTGTTTTACACATTTAGAATATTAATTTAAACAACCTTAAAATGTCAGTGACTTCCCTTCTTCTCTTTCCATGGTTCATTTTGCGTATCATAAATCCCTGCATAAGCGAAAACATTCAGTATTCCATTCTTACATCCATCAAAACTTACTTACAGTGTTGAATTTATCTTAATGTTGCCCATCTGGCTGGGTTTCCCCAGCCACTCTGGGCGGCTCTCAACAGAATATTAAAAGCACAATAAAACATCAAACTTTAAAAACTTCCCTAAACAGGGCTGCCTTTAAATGTCTTCTGAAAGTCAGATAGATGTCTATTTCCTTGACATCTGATGGGAGGGAGCCACTACCGAGAAGGCCCTCTGCCTGGTTCCCCGTAACCTCACTTCTCACAGGGAGGGAACCGCCAGAAGGCCCTCGGAGCTGGACCTCAGTGTCCGGGATGGATGATGGGGGTGGAGATGCTCCTTCAGATATACTGGGCCAAGGCTGTTTAGGTCTTTCAAGGTCCGTACCAACAGTTTGAATTGTGCTCGGAAACGTCCTGGGAGCCAATGTAGGTCTTTCACGACCAGTGTTACATGGTCTCGGTGGCCGCTCTCAGTCACCAGTCTAGCTGCCGCATTCTGGATTAGTTGCAGTTTCCGGGTCACCTTCAAAGGTAGCCCCACGTAGAGCGCATTGCAGTAGTCCAAGTGGGAGATAACCAGAGCGTGCACCACTCTGGCGAGACAGTCTGCGGGCAGGGAGGGTCTCATCCTGCGTACCAGATGGAGCTGGTAGACAGCTGCCCTGGATACAGAATTGACCTGTGCTTCCATGGACAGCTGTGAGTCTCCGAGGTCCAGCTCTGAGGGCCTTCTCGGTAGTGGCACCTGCCCTGTGGAACGCCCTCCCACGAGATGTCAAAGAGTTGAACAACTACTTGACATTCAGAAGACATCTGAAGGCAGCCCTGTTCAGGGAAGTTTTTAATGTGTGACATTTTAATGTATTTTTAATCTTTGTTGGAAGCCGCCCAGAGTGGCTGGAGAAACCCAGCCAGATGGGCAGGGTACAAACAAACAAATAAAATAATTAGTCCAAAATGACCCCCAGGCTGCGCACCTGGTCCTTCAGGCACACAGTTGCCCCATTCAGGACCAGGGAGTCCCCCACACCCGCCCGCCCCCTGCCCCCCCAAAAAAACCAGTAAGGTAAAGGGACCCCTGACCATTAGGTCCAGTTGTGGACGACTCTGGGGTTGCGGCGCTCATCTCACTTTACTAGCCGAGGGAGCCGGCGTACAGCTTCCGGGTCATGTGGCCAGCATGACTAAGCCGCTTCTGGCGAACCAGAGCAGCACACGGAAACGCCGTTTACCTTCCCGCTGGAGCGGTACCTATTTATCTACTTGCACTTTGGCGTGCTTTCGAACTGCTAGGTTGGCAGGAGCAGGGACCGAGCAACAGGAGCTCACCCCGTCATTGCGGGGATTCGAACCGCCGACCTTCTGATCGGCAAGCCCTAGGCTCTGTGGTTTAACCCACAGCGCCACCCGTGTCCCATTAAAACAAACAAACAGTAAAAAAGGTAAAGGGACCCCTGACCATTAGGTCCAGTCGTGACCGACTCTGGGGTTGCGGCGCTCATCTCTCTTTATTGGCCAAGGGAGCCGGCGTACAGCTTACTTCTGTCTTAAATCTTCCCTCCGTAACTTTTCCTTCCTCCTCTTTCTGACATAGGCAGGACAAGTTGAAGGTTCACATGAGGAAGCACACCGGCGAGAAGCCCTACCTTTGTCAGCAGTGTGGGGCGGCGTTTGCCCACAACTACGACCTGAAGAACCACATGCGCGTCCACACGGGCCTGCGCCCCTACCAGTGCGAGAGCTGCTTCAAGACTTTCGTCCGCTCCGACCACTTGCACCGGCACCTTAAGAAGGATGGCTGCAACGGCATCCCTTCCCGGAGGGGGCGCAAGCCCCGCGTGAGAGATGCCTCCGCGCCCCCCGCCACCCCGGCTTCCAACCCCGACGACGGGAGCCTGGCGGGCGGAGAGGAGGCCCACGAAACGCAGGATGCGACTGCGCCGCAGGACGGCTTAGAACAGCACTTTGACGGGAGTTCCAGCGCCAACGCGGCGTCGGGGGTTTGAATGTAGGGGGGGCGAAGTCCGAGGGCGAAACGGAAGAACTCTCCTAAAAAAAAAAACCAACCAAAAAAAAACCCCGAAACGAGAAAAAAAAAAAAGGTGTCACAAAATCTAGTTATAACTTTTCCTCCAGTTCCTCTTTTAAAATATGGGTTTCCTCGCTCTTTTTTGGGGGGGCGAGGAAAAGAATAGCCTTATAAGAAGTCTATAATATATATATATATATCTTGTTTGTGATCTTCCCCATAATAATAGGCAGTTCGTTGTACCCCTCTCGTTAGCCGCAGATTAATTTTTAAGGTTTTTTTGTTTTTTTTCCTGCCCTTGGGGGTGGGGGAAAAGAGGTGTTTAGAGGAAAGTTTTGGAAACCAGGTTGGAGGGGGAAAGAGAGGGGGTCTATTAAATACGAGACGAAGCTTCCAGAGTTTTTAGTTTGTTAAACGTTTTAAAACTTATACATATATATATGTGTATATATAAATATATATTATATTGGAGATTTTATCTATTTTAGCAAGCGTAATGTTCCAAAGGAACAAAAAAAGCAGGGAGATAAGTTGTGTTGGTGGCTTGAGGAATCAATGAATTGGTGGGGTGGGGGGGAACTTCCTTCCTCTTCCTCTCCCCTCCCCCCACCCCTCCCACCCCCATCCTGAAGGTGCTCATTTCAGATAATGCCCATGGAGGTTTTAAGTTTTCTCAAGGGTTTTGTTTTGTAGCAGGGTGGCAAATGACCTTTCAGCCTCTGGGTTCCTGGCGCTGTCTAAATGCAAATCTTGGGCCACTGACTCTCCGTACGAGTCTTAGAAGACTTTTTTGGGGGGGGTCACGCTCCTGATTTTTCCATCGCAAGATCTTGAGGAGTCCCATAAATCCGTCCTTGCAAATCGACGGAGGTGGACTTCCTGCGCTGCAAATTCTGGCCGATTCAAATTTTATTTTTTCAAAAGGCTCGCGGATTTTAAAATAATCCGTTCGCCGTTCCTGCCAACCCCCTGGTCATGAAAGGGGTGGGGTGAGGAGGCTGCGCCGGCAGCCCCCCACCCAAGGGCGCCAAGTCTAGAATTCACCTACATCGGTAGGTGTCGAAATTATCTTGCCGGCAGCATAGAATCGTGCGGTCCCAGCGCTTAGCTTGCAAACCGCAGTTCTCAAACCAGCGGAAGGGAATTTCTCCAGTATCTGCTGGTTTGAGGCTATCCCCAGCCCTTATCGGCTCGCCTATTTTGAATCATTCATCTGGTCCACGTTCAATTTGGCTTCTGTTAAAGATCTCCCCCCCAGCATTTGAGTTGTCAATTGGCCGGACTCTGCCGGAGGGTCTTATCCAACCTGTGAACAACTTTTGTCGATTAAAAGTTTGCTACTTAGCATTGCTCCAGCGGCGTCATGTGTGCCCTGCGGAATAAAACCAAATTTTGTTCGCGAATAAAGTAAGTTGCTGCACAGAGAAGCGTTAGGCTTTCTCTACTCAGGGCTGAACCCATTTAAATTGAGGGTCATGTCTAACTCGGGCTCATTAATTTCTACTCGTGAGTAGAATTTGGCTGGAAACAACCCTTTGGGGTTCAGCAATTGGCTGTTGCAGTCCTTAAACACAGCACTGTGCCTCTTCCACATTGCATATTGCATATTTAAGGGCATATTGTAAGTAGACCTTACGTTTTGCAGGCAGGAAGTTGCCCCACACGGTCCGACTTTCTAAAAATTCCCCTCTCCCCTGCGTGCTGACCAGGTTCCAGCCTCGATCATAAATCACCCTTTGCGGGAAACCTGAGTTCCAGTAACGCAAGGATTTTGGCGGCTAGGCAGTCGTGGGAATGCTCTGTTTTGAGTGCAGAAAACCTGGAGCTATTGCACCTTGACTTAAAAGCTTCCCGGCTAAAAAGAACAGGACTCTTTTAAAAGGGTTGCGGGAGCTTGCGGTGCCTTTAGCCTCTTTGCAGGGGTTGCATTTTTGAGCACCTCAGGCTGGGGGGCGCCCTCCCTTCCCACCCCACAGCGCTCTTGCCAAGAGTTCTCATGGGGGGGCTTGCTGGCAGAAGGGCAAAATAGGCATTGGGGGTGGGATTTGCAAGGAGCAGCCATGAAACTGAGTTGGCGGCGATGCTATAGACCCGGGCAGCCTCTGTGTCCACAGCCCCCCTCCCATTTTTTATCCAGTGGGGTGCAGTTCCCTGTGCCCCCTCCCACCTTTCACTCCCCAGTCCTCCTACCCCTTTTGGTACTATAGAAATATATATGCCTAGCACAAAAAAATCAAGCCACTGAAATGAAATTGTGGGTTATTCAAGTCGGGTCCCATCTTCCAGTTTACGCCCCCTGAGTTACTGAGATTTTACGGAGCCTCATTTAAAAAAATTGAAAAAGGGGGTATTGGTTTGGACCAAGGCAAGGTTTGTGGTCCAAGCTGTTTTCTGCGGTGACCCACCGAATCCTGTTTCCCCGACCAGAATAAAAAAGCGTTCTTGATAACGCAGTGGCTGTTCTATCAGGTTTATCAGAAAAAGGACCCTCTTAAGCTAAGAAACCAAGGACACCTTTTTATCCATTTCAGAATTTTCTAAATGCACAGTTTAAAAAAAATGATTCTAAAAGAGAGATTTAAGTCGTCTTTTTTTTTTTTTTTTGCAAGCACTTTTAAAGATTTTTCGTTTAATTTAAATATGAGAGAACAGGTGAACCATTTTGCCGAATGTAACCAAACAGGGGAGTGAGTGTGTGTGTTTGTTTGTTTGTGACGGGAAAGTGTGAGGGGGAAGAACAAAGAAAAATAAAATGGGTTGGGTGGGTGGACGCGGATGTTTTATTTAATATAGAAAAAAAAGCAATAAAAAAAACCCCCACACACAAAAAAAAAGATTAGAAACTTAAGAAGTCTTAGCACTTTGAAACGGAACGGGTACTTTGAAATCACTTTATCTTAATTTAAAAGAAATATATATATCTATATATATATATATATAAGAAAGAAACGAATATGTTTACACGTCGAAACCATCTTCTACAGAAAGAAATTTATTGTTGTTTGTTGTTTTTATTAAAATAATTCCTAAAATTGAATTTATTTTTGTAAGAGAAAAAAAACAAAACAAATGTATATATCTATCTATATCTTATCTATATATTTGAGAGAAAGAAAGAGAGAGAGAGACTTAAAATGAAATCCACCATTTTGGTTCGTGGATTGAGACCAGGAGCAAAGCGAAACGTAGAAAATTAAAATAAAACCGGGAGGACTGGAGTTAATTAGATTCTGTGACACAGCAAAATTTAGAGGAATAAAGTAGCCCTCGGAAGTGATTTGCACTTCGGGGAAAAAACACAAAATACAAAAATGGAAGCTTGAATTTTTAGGCAGGAATCATTGGGTTATTTTGTGTATGGTTTCTCCGCCCTCGTTTATTTTTATTTTTTCCTTTTTATGTCTTATTGCCAGTGCTGGCCTGTCCGTTTTCTAATTGGTTTCCCCCTCATCCGGCCACAACCATCATTTCCAAGACCACCTCCCTCAAGAAAGGAGATTTCGAGACCTTGGTTCCCACCGACCTCCCGCCCCAAAATCTGTTTTCAATTGGGTTTCGAGGGCTCCATTCGATGGGGACTTCGCAGCTTGGCTCGTATTTGTGCCGGCTTTCCTTCCAAACGCTTCGCCCCCATCTCTTGCACAAACACCCCCAAAAACACCCCTCCAAATTGAAAATATTCTGTATTGTTTTTAACACTCGATTGGGAGCCGCCTAGAGTGTCTGGGGAAACCCAGCCAGATGGGCAGGGTATAAATAATATTTTTTATTATTTTAACAACAAGGAGCTTTTAAGGGCGGTTTGGATTCCAAATTTGATGTCCGGTTTCATTTGCCGTTCCTCAACTCTCGCCCCCCAAGTGCTTTGGGTCAGCGTCGCTCATCCCTCCTTGGGAAAACAGGGCTCAGAGTTTAACGCTTCAAAGTTGATCAAGACCCAAGCGAATTGAGGGATGCAGAATGGGGAGGAAAAGCCCATTTTCCCACGGTATATGTGTGGAGGTGAGCCTGGTTTTCGGGACCCAGAGAACAGATCTCCACTTCCCCAGTCCAGGGGGGGGGAGCCAATTTGGGAGCCGGCAGGAAAAGTCTGGTTGGGAAACAGTGGCGAAAGATACCCAAAAGCTGGTTATCGGAAGGCAATCTGTGCACAACAGCTTCCATCTTGGTTTTTGTAGTTTGGGACTGGGTTTTTATTTTATTTTTGCAAAGCCCTCAAAAAAATTGAATTGGCAGCAGATTCATTTTAAACCTTCCGTAACAACTCTTGCAAACGGGGAGGGAAAAAACTTTCCAAGGGTCTGTTTCTACTTTAAAACAAAACCCTGCAAATCAAATGGCTTAAAAAAAAATAATCGGCAAATTTGGTGGACAAACGCCGCTTTGGGATCTTTCCATCATTTTTATGGATCCGGCCCATTCAAAGCAAATTGGAGGAGGTCCTGGCACTTGGATGGTTGTGGCCTCCATCACCGACACCCCCCCAAAAAATATCTCTCTTCCATAGAGAACCTCGGCTTAGCACTGACTTAAAAAACGATTGCATATGCAAAAATTAGCGTGGACTTTGTAAATAGATAGATACATGAGATTCTTTATTGTAATCAAAAGTTGTGGTATCTCTACCAGTTTGTTTTACACCTCCTTGTTTCCATGACTGTTTATGTTTTGTGTGTATTTCCCCCCCCCCATCTATCTCCCCCCTCCCATCCAAAATCTCTCCCCCCCCACTTTTCAAGCCACCTAACAACCAAACAATATCCAATATTCCAGAGCTCCATCAGTCAGTTTCTTTATTTTTCTCTCTCTCTCTCTTCAAAGTCAGGGTGTTTTCAAACCGTAGGAACAGGGTGGGTTTTGTTCTTTGGGGTTTAATTTTTTTTATTATTTTGGGACACCTAAGAAATAGCAGCCAAATCCCTCTCTCTCCCCCCCCCCAACGCCTTGTTTTTTAATCCCGACGGGGCCCTGTCCTGCCAGAAATTGGCAGAAGACCAGGTGGAATTCCAAAATCTGTGTCCAGTCCCCGTGAGCATTTGAGGTTGAGGCTCCGTGCAGAACGGGGGACCCCTTTGCTGTGTGCTCCCCCCAAGTTAGCCTTTGCACAAACTGCTATTGCTGGCTTGGGCCCGAGGAGACGCCACAATATTTTATTTTATTTTTGCTTGGCCAGCATCCCTGTGCAATACCTTCCTGTGCATGACCCTCTTCGTATCCCTCTCACCTCCTCCATCTCAAGAATTCCCTCCCCTAGTCCATTTCAGTCTCTGCAGAGCTTCAGCCGGGAGGGGGCCACCACCACCTAAGGCCACGTCCCCGATGCTTGACCAGCGGCCGCCACCCCCTCTTTCCCAAGGAGTCCTGCGAACTGTACGTAGTTCTGCGTTAGGGGAAGGGCTAAGAAGGGGGAGGGTTGGGGATATCTCTCGAGGGAGAGTTCTCGGCGCCCTCGCCCAAACTACAGTTCCCAGGACCCTTCGGAAAGAAAGCGTGGCCGTCGCGGCGGAACCCGTTGGCTGGTTTCGCCGCGTATATACTTGTGTCCTGATCCCATTTATTTTATTTTTATTTTTCGTTTTCCTGAGCAGAGATACCGCACCTTCTTTGTTAGATGAACTTCCGCGCCGCACGGCCCTCGAAGGGGTCAGGGGCGCGGAACGGGGTCCGATGTTCGTTGCTTGGTGTGGAGTCTAAGCTTCGAGCAGGAGTGCTGGCAACACTTTAACACAAGCCTTTTAAGCGTTTGCACTAAAAATAAAAAGAGAGAGAGAAAAAAAAAACGAGAGAGAGAAAATTATGTACCTTCTCCGCGTAGGGAGGCCTTGACCTCTGAATACAGTTTGCCTTAACCTTCTTATTCCTTCTTTGTACAAGTGATCACAAACACACACACACAAAAAGGACATCTCTTCGCATGCAAAGTTCCTCTTCCTCGAATCACATACTGTATATAAGGTGTTCGATTTTTTTTTTTTAAGAAAGAAAATATTATTATTATTTTTATTATTATTTTATTTTTTAAAAATAAGATGCAGGTTGTGGTAAAGTGTTGCCAAAGAAACTATTGGTTCTATTGCCGTATTTCAGGAAAAAGAAGAAGAAGGAAAAAATGCTTCTAAAATGACATCAGCGACAAAAATAATAATAATAACGATAATACGCATAACAGACAATGTTTCCCTTATTGGCTGGGCTGTTTCCATGTTTTTTCTTTCTTGAATTTCACGATCCAAAAAAAAAACCCAACAACTTAATTTATCAAATGTTAATTTCAAGTGGTCGAAGCTGTAATTTTTTCAGAGTATGTGTGTCTCTTCTACGTCGGCACCTTCCGATCTGTTTCCCCCCATTGCTAAGCTGCTGACTTCCAGCTATTGGAGTTTTAGGAAAAGTCGAGTCGCTTGCAAAATGTCTGTGGGGGGGTCTGCATGCAGAGACATCTCTGTAAATGATTGGATTCCATTGCAAATAATAATAATAATGGGGGGGGATAGTTCTATTGAAAGTCTATTTGGCTCGATAACGACCGAAGGTGTTTCAGTCTGAGAAGCGAGAGCTTTTTGCAACTCTCTGCGGGGTGCAATGCGTGCAGAGCTTGGGGGGCCACAGTTTTCCCACTGACCTGGAAGGGACACACAGACCCTCCCGTTGCCATTGATCCTGTGACAGCCGTCAATCTTCCAGTTTGCACCTTCCTGCCCTGCTGTATAAGCTGCTTCCTTGACCATTCTTCCGCTGGCCAGCTGGCATTGGCTGTTCCTGGCAAACCCGTGTCATATGCGTGAATGTAAAGGGGGGGGTCCGTGGGGAAGGGGCAGCTGCGTTGTCAAGGTTGCAGCTAAGATCAGAAGGGGCAGATCTTTAGGGCGTTCTGATCTAATTTCCGAAATAAATTCTTGCCCTCTTTGGCTCAGGCCGTGAGGTTCTTCATACAGGGACACACCTGGAAGGGAACCTCTGCAGCTGGGTTGGCCTACTAAAATTTATTGCACCCCAGGGTCAGGAGTTGGTGGGAACCCAGCGTCGTGAAGTTGGAGGTGGTTGTAACGTTCCCCGTGGCTCTTGACCACGAACTCTTCCTCGCCAACGCTTGAGTTGCCCATGAGTTAGGTCCACCATCTAGCAAACGCCGTTGGTTCCTAAGTGTTCCTCGTCTCCAAAAAGGAGACCCTCAGGTGGCGAGACCTTTTGAGAACTTCCTGGTCCAGGTGGAGGAGATAGATGGAGAGAAGGACCTGGGTCCAGTTGACATTTTGCCTCTTCGCTTGCTGATTTTCTCCCGTGTGGAAGGAAATCAGGTTCTCCAATTGCGGCAGAGACGGATCTAGCCGCCCCTGAATTTTAGGAGAGGACATTGGTTTGGCTAAGCCGTGCCCACCCCGCTTCCCGCTCGCCTCATTCCAAACCCACAAAAAAAATAAATTAAGAAGCCTTAAGCAGAAAAGAAGGATACAGCGTCTTGAAAAATGTCTTAAGGACTTTCCTTCTTTTGCACTAGCCCGTTGGATCCAATGGGGGAATATTGTTCTGTTGCACTTTAAAAAAAGAGGATATGTTGGAGACTGTTTGCAAAAAAGAGAAAAGCGCAGGGACTTCAGATATGTGTGGTTTTTTAAATTGGGGTGTGTGTGTGAGAGTTGATGTACGGAAAGGGATTATCCTCTGCTTTAAAGGGGGGGGGCTTACTTCTTTATTCACTTTAGACCTGATTCTTCTTTCCAGTTCTTGTTTTCCGCCCAGGACATTTCATAAAGAGCTGTATGGAATAACTGCTTAGGTTTACTGAGGAAATGGAGGGTGGGGTTTCCCCCCCCCCTCGCCGTCAGTAGCTAGGTTTGGGGAGGTGGGTTGGAGAATCTCCCATGCTTCCAAAAATTGATTTGGCCTTAATTCATCTCTTCTTCTTCTCCCGTGGCTTCGGTCGAAGTCGTCAGGAAAGGCCCGTCGCGATTCTTCTGCCTCGGCGATGCGAAACTATATATCGAAAGCCTCTTGCCGCCCCCCCCAACCTCTAAGCGCTACCCTATAATCGCGCTGCTTTCCCTCCTTCTCTCCAGCTCAGGCAGCCCGACTCTGCTATTTAAAAACGAAATCTATAGATCTTATTTATATTTTCAGCATTTAATGTCTATAAATTTTTAATTTAAGTTAAGAAGAGCGCCCCGGAATGTTCTTGTTGATGCTGGGTGTTTTTTTGGGGGGGGGCGGGAAGAGATGCTGTTCTTTTTAAAAAATGTTCTTTGCAAGAGAGCATTTTGCTAGCTTGTTCGCATTTAGTTCCGTACCGCCTTGAAAGCTCCCTTTCCTCATCCTTTAGAGAGCGTCGGCAGGACGCTTCCCTGGAGCTTCTCAGAAACGACGGCAACTGAAGTCATTCCGCAAGCGGGAACGACTTCCGCTCGCTACGCAGAACTTCCCCTCTCTCTCTACTCCCCCTGGGTGCCCCCCAAAATCCCACCACCAATCCGCTCCAGATAGCTGGAGGAACCCCCAGAGCAAATTTTGGGGTATACCGGGTGGCTGGAAGGGGAGAGAGGGGGACCTTTAATTGCACAAGCGGAAGCTGTTCCGCTTGTGGAATGACTTAAGAGTGACCCAACCAAGGGAGAGTTCAAACGTCATTCTGGGAGCAGGTTCCTAAGTTTTTTGTTCATTCTTCTAGACGCCCAATTTTTCAGGGGGACCCAGCAGCTTCAGCAGATGTTCAGGGAAGAGATGGGGAGCTGCGTGGTCCAGCATCTTCCGAGAAGGGCTGCAAGGTTCTCCATCTCTTGTGATATGCAAAAGGTAAAAGCAGAGCTTAACGTCAGGTGTGTCAGGGCCCTCACCTTGCTTAATAATTTCTTCCTGATGTTGTTGCCGTCGCTGTTAGCTATACAGAGAACGATCTCGCCAGAGCACTCTCTCTCTCTATATATATATAAAATCCATATTTTAAAAACACCGCCACGAACCCTTAAATGACTAATTTACTGTTGTCGAACGAGGCAAAGCTAAGCACAGAAAAAAAGACATTCCAGAGATTGTATGTTTGATAAGGGGTTTGCTGGGGGGGGGGAGTCGGAAAATGAGTACAGAAAAAAAATCTATATATAGATAGATATAAATATATATATAATATATAAAATGCACTTTTTTGCGGGGAGGGGGCTTAAAAATAAATATATAATTAGAACAACGCGACTGTTTTTCCCCCCCTTCCGTTCTTGTATATATATATTTTTTAAAAACACACAACCCAATTTGGAAGCGTGTAATAATAACCCCAATGTTGATTAAGTATATATTTTTTTTTTCCTTCTGTCGTTATTTTTTTAAGCTCTGGGAGTTTGAAGCGGTTCTGAACCGAAGATGCAAAGAATTATGAGAAGCCAATTTGCTGGTTACAGAGAGCTACTGGCCATGCCCAGTGGGGTTTGTCTTGTCTGAATAGTTTTCTTTGAATGGCTAACCCTCAGTACTTTTTCAGGAAACTGATCCCCAAAACTCCCTTGGGGGTTGGAGGGCTTGCATATGTATTACTCAGAGTAAGCCCATTGAAATGAATGGACTCACGTCCATAAATTTCAGCGGGTTTCCTCTGAGGAGGGCTAACGTTTGCTACAGCCCCGAGAGCCAATGGCGCAACCATTGGATCTTGTCCGATGGATAATAGACGCAGCTCGCTGGCTTCTTTTGTGTCTTTTGTGGAGACCCAACTTTGGACCCTGGCCTGACACCCAGGAAATGGGTGTCGGTCCAAACCGGTGATCGTCCTCCTGCCAAAAAGTTTGCAACTGAGAAACCAAAATCAGCTTGCAAGAACCCCAGTTCCCGCCAGTCCCATGGTGGCGGATGAAGTTTCGGCAACATCTGGACAGGGAAGGTTGTGTTAATTTCCCCCAGGGCACCCTGCTTTGTCGCCAGCTAGCTCCTGCTCAGAGTAGACTCATTGAAATGAATGGACCGAAAGTTATCCATGTTTATTCATTTCAGTGGTATCGAAGTAAGAGACTTTGGAGTAGGACTAACATTGAACACAACTCCCATATACAGCAGAACCTTGGAAGTGGAACGGAATCCGTTCCGGAAGTCCGTTCGACTTCCAAAACGTTCGGGAACCAAGGCGCGGCTTCCGATTGGCTGCAGGAAGCTCCTGCAGCCAATCGGAAGCCCCGCCGGACGTTTGGGTTCCAAAGAAGGTTCGCAAACCGGAAAACACTCACTTCTGGGTTTGCAGCCAAAACGTTCGACACCCAAGGTGTCCGGGAGCCAAGGTATGACTGTATATGTCAGAGGTGAGGAATCTTTGGCCTTGCACATCTTGCCGAAATGGAACTCCTTTCAGCTCCAATGGCCAGAGTTTTCCCACCCCTTGCCATGTTGCCAGAGTTGTGACATTTTTGCGGGGGAAGGGTTTAAACACACAAACCATTCTCAGGATCAGATCTGTGTGCATTGGGACTTTTTTTGGTACGTGGTTGATTGTAGGCAGGAGGTCTGGGTAGCAAAAAACCAACAACACACCGTGGATTCGCCTTCAGAAGTAAAGATTAAAACTTGAGGCGTGACCCTTAAAACACATTTCCAAATTATATGTTTAAGGCTTGTTTCTTTTTTTGAAAAGCCTTCTCCTCTGCACTGTCTTCTGTTCAAATCCACACCCTGCGTTGAAAGAATTCTGGGAACTGTAGTTCATCGCTCGCAGGGCTGTCGTTCCTAGCACCCTTAACAAACTGCAACTCCCAGGATTCTTCGGGAGAAGCCACGTGCTATAAATGTCTACCCATGCGGATGCGATCAGAGTTTAATGACACCTGCGCACCGTACATCCTCCTTTTCAAAATCCGGGCAAATATCAGCTGCTGGTGTGTCTCCTTGCTTTTTTGACCAGAAGAAAGACCTCACCAGTCTTGAGCATGCATGCTGTTTAAAAAAATCCCTAAAGCCAATAGCTGCATACTTCAATGATTTCCAAAACATTTTTTTTAAAGCA